TTCTCCATGTTTTACAGAGACAGGAACTGAAGTGCAGGGAAACGGAGGCACCTGAGGCCCCTTCCTACAGCCAGCAGAGGCAGAGCCCGCTGGCACTGGGCCTGGTCTGAGCACATTGCGTGGAGCCCCTTCAGCTGTCCCCTCAGCCCTGCCATGGCCACCTGCAGCCTCCATCTTCCCTGCAGTCCCAGTTGACACCAGTGGGGAGCCCCTGACCCAGGCACGTTCTTTCCCATTGCAGTCGATAAGCCCCAACCGTGTGCCCCTGGCCGTGGTCGGTGGGGGGGCTTTTGGAGGGCATCGAATTAACCCCTGGACAACTACTTACAACGCTCAGGCAAGTTCCTCAACCTTGGAACCTTTCCCAGGTTCCATGAGTTCCCTTTCCGGGTGCAGATAGCAGGAGCCCACTCAAGGTGACGTGTCTCCACACACGTCACTCTGGAGATATCAGGGAGGGAGTTGGCACCGCGTGAGTTGTGGCCACGCCTGCGTGTCTCTGGCCTTGTGTCCTTTCTTATTCCCTCACTGGCACAGCTCCTGCTGGCTCTGCACTTGTGTGGCCGTAAATGCCACCCCAGTCACAGCCTGAGCACTCATGTCCCTACCCCAGGCAGAGTGACCAGCAGGGACCAGTGAGTGTCTCAGGTCCCAATTCCATTGCCCAGGAGAGAAGCAGCTGGCCCAAGCTGGGACTCACGTCCATGCCAACCCTAGTAAGCTGTAGCCGAAGGGGCAGCTGTGGGGGGTACAGACGGGGCCGCCCACCTCTCAGCTCAGGGGCAGGGCACAGAGAAGAGGGCCAGGGCTGGGCTGGCATCCCAACACTGTCCACTGTGGTGGGCACTCCCACAAAGATGCCATGGGATTCAGGGCAGCTGCCTCTGCTGTCGTGGCTTTTAGCTGGGAGTGGGTCCCATTTGCCAGAATGACTCATACGGACCAGCCTCGCCCTGATGGGGTGCTAGGGTTTGGCTGGATCACCCGGAGTGGCCCCTGGCCTTCCCTGAGCCTCTGTCCCCTCACCTGCAGAGTCGGCATCCCAGCACCCACCCTGCCCTCCCCAGGCTGCCTTGAAGACTAAAGAGGGCTGCCTGGGGTCTCCTGTGCTGCCCACTTTCCTGCGGTTCAAGGAAAGACCAAGTCAGTGTCCCTGCGAGTCCCAAAGAGGGGAGGACATGGGGGGATTGAGCCCAGTGCCCGCCAGTGGCTGCCCGCTTTCCTTTGCCTCACCTTGGTGAAGAGCGTGGGAGGCCTCTGGACAGCGGGCCCAGCCCTCGGCACCCCTAGCGGGCGCCGCCTCAACACACCCAGCTCCCTGGGTCCTGCACCCTCGGCAGGGCCGGGCAGGCCAGCCAGCCTCAGGCATCCTGGGAGGCCAACATGGATTGGAGCTGCCAGACGGGGCCCCCAGGAATGTGGAGGGTTCCCAGGGCTCCTTCTCTGCTTGGACGTGTCTGTGTGTCTGTCTGCATCTGGCTCTCTGCACCTGCCTGTCTGTACTTGGAGCTGTCTGTGTGTCTGTCTGTGTCCAGTTTTCTCATTGCTTTGGATCTGTCTGGATCTGCCCATCTGTCTGTCTGGTCGGGGGTCTGGGTTCCATGCCCGGCTTTGCCTCCGACTCCCAGTGTGGCCTGGGCCAGCCACTCCACGTCAGTAGGCGTCCGCGTTCCCCTCCATCTCTACGATGGGGGTCCTGGTCCTCCCTGCCCGGCCACTTGACCCTCCCCCAGGTCTGGCTGTGGTGTCTGCAGGGACACCGCAATGCCTGCCACCTCCCCCACTTCCCAGCACCCCCTATTCCCACGCGGGGCTCAGCCGCCTCACTCCCCACCCACCAACCACCCAGACCTTGAGTCTCAGAACGAAAACCTCGTCTGTCAGTTATTCTCACACATTCCTGGAAGAGGATAAATCGGCCCAAATTCCAGCAAATCTTTGGCAGGGCTTATCAAAAAATTCAGAAGCGGACGTACCACAGAGTTCTTCGTTGCACATTTCTGTAATAGCAAAAACCGGGAAACGCTGAGAGTGCCCACTCCCGGGGCCCGGTGGGGGGCTGGGCTCCTCCACACCTCGGGGCAGGACACAGATGCAGACAGGGCCAGCTCTGGAGGGACCCCGGAGGATGTCATTGTGCTGGGGACGGACAGCTAACTGAAGCAAAGAGAGGTGCAGAAAGCATGACTGGGGTGCCCCTTTCTTCCAGGCTTGCTTACCTTTTTAGAAATAAGCAGTGGGAGGGTCAGCCCAGAACTGAGCGAGATCGTCACCTCCTGGGCAGGGGCAGAGCCAGAGCAGGGCAGAAGCAAGAGCTCTCTGGAGGCGCTGGGTTCATGTTTCCAGCCTTGGAACCAAATATGTTCTCTAAAGAGCCAAATAAAATTGATTTTTTAAATTAAAAGCAAACCTGGTTGCCGAGTTGGTGGAAAAGCCACACTGAGAATTATTTCATGTGACTTTGAGATGGTCCTGTCACTACACATCCCTAGAGGGGCAAGAACCAAGAGAGTAAAGAAACATCAACTCTTTTCAGTAGACTTGTCAGTGAAAATATTGGTAATGCGATTTCAAAATGATTGTGTATAGTGGGAGATAAGTTAATGTTATAGGAACCAGATTTTCACTGTAAAAATCATGCAGACGTCGAATTTTAACCAATAAAAGCCCTGTGACCTCTAATTTTAAGTGAAAATATCAGTATGAACTCAAGTTTTATATTCTATTTTTAAAAAGTAATTAAAAAAAAAAAGTCTTCCCTAGCTCTGGTCACCGAAAACACCCAGAACCAATGGAAACCCGAGGAGCCGTGAGCACCCTCGTGCCCAGACTGCTCTCCGTGAACCACTTCCCCAGAAGCAAAATCGTCAAGGACTAGTGGGGTCACACCAAAATGACACAGGAGCCAGCCTGGAGGGGCCTCCAAACCCACGGTCCCAATGGGATAATTTGAACAACAGAGGGATTGAAACACATCCAATGTGTTAAGAAATCAGGGGGATCACAATGATGCTGTAAAACGACCCCAGACCTCACAGGGTACCGACTTACTAAGAATTGAGCATCTGTGCCTTCCCCCGCAGGCTGGATTTTAGGCTAGCCATACAGGTAATCAGGAAAAGTTCCTTAGAACTTATTTTAGAACCAGAACTAACAAATGTGGAAGAAATGATAGCATTTGGAAATGTCTGTTGTGCCATGCTGAGTGCAATACGGCATCTAAGTCATGCTAAGGGACAACGAAGCGATCCGGTGCAAGGCCTGAGGGGGACTTCACTGNAGAACCAGAACTAACAAATGTGGAAGAAATGATAGCATTTGGAAATGTCTGTTGTGCCATGCTGAGTGCAATACGGCATCTAAGTCATGCTAAGGGACAACGAAGCGATCCGGTGCAAGGCCTGAGGGGGACTTCACTGTGGGAGAACCGGGCCGGGAGCAGCTGTACCTGCTGTAGCCACGATGTCATGGGAGGGTCGTGCAGACATCGGGTCTCTGAATGTGATGCAATAGACAGCCAGTTCAGAAGACAAAACAGTGGCCAAGCAGCATGTCCAATGCCACGCGAGGAAACCCAGCCAGCTACAGTGCATGGAAAATCCTGTAAGATCAATGACCCAGTTTCTTCAATGAACAACATGGGGTGGGGGTGGGGGGCAGGACTGAAATCTTCTAGAGTAAAGAGCCAGATGCAAAGGCATTTTGGAGATGACAGGGGAAAGCCAGACACAGACGGATGTTTTTTAAAGTCCTCATCTGTCAGATTTTGCAATGCAGTACTTATGAGTAAACTGATATGATCTGGGATTTCCTTTAAAATACCCCATCACTCCCTTCACCCCGTTCCTCTCCCCCCAAAAACTGAAGCTTGGGAAATCAAGCAAGTGCGGTGGAGCCAGCTCCAGCTGGTTTGTGAAAGGTGATGGTGAAACATTCAGGAACTTTGCACGCCAGCTGTTAAACCTTGTTAAAATTGAAACTGGCCGTGGGGAGGATAATTGCACCGCAAGAGCCAGCAAATGCTACAAGTCAGGGTGCTTTTTTTTCGAGAGCTGGTTTATCCTCATAACACAGGACGGGGTGAGCTGCAGAGGCGCCGGTGACCGACAGCATCGCCCCATCCTCTGCGTGGTGTCTGCTGGACACTTCCCACAACAGAGAGCTTACAAAGGCATGTCCTCGGGCCTAGAAATCCCACTGCTAAGAATGTATCTTGAGGAGTAATGCAAATAGGCTCTGTAATTCAAGTGGCTCCCATTACTTAGCTACAAAGATGCTTATTAAAACATTGCTAAAAATATTTTTTTATATGTAAGCAACTAAATATCAGAAAGGAATTAGTTGTCAGTTTTACAAGATGGGAAAACTCTGGAGATTAGTTGTGCAACGATGTTAACATTCTTAATGTTACTGAACTGTACTCTCAAAAATGGTGGAGATGGTAAATTTTACGTTATGTGTATTTTACCACAATTACAAATATAAAAGAAAAGGGACTGGTTACGTTAAACAATGGAATATGGTTAGAAATCACATTGCAGAAGAAAATTTAATGATATGGAAAAGTAGGGACGATCTTGTTTGGTGAAAAAGTAGGAAATCAGGTTACGAAAGCATATGCTCAGCTTGGCTGCATTTGGGTAAATTTAAAATGCATGAGCTTGTGGAGCCAGGCTGGAAGGGCGCCATTCATCGAGAGCATGCTACGCCAGTCGCTGAAAGACACGCTCACCCGATCTTCACAAGACCCCATGCTGTTAGCATCCACCTTTTACAGATGGGGAGACCGAGGCCAGGAGACCAAAAGAGGCTGGTGGAGGCAGCACGGGGGCCCGGGTCCCCTCCTGCCCGCCGCCCCAGGCCCTGGCCTCTCGCACGCACGTCCGGGGTGTTTTCTTTTCCCCTTTCAGCTTGTCTTCTCAGTTTTCTAAAATAGAACAGGTGGGGACTTTTGTGGGGAGGAAACGGTGGTGCTGTAAAGCTGGTGGCGTGTTTTGCAGGCTGTTGATGGAGAAGGGGGCGGATGACAGCCGGGACAGTGGTCATCACCGGGGGCATCTTGGCGACTGTGATTCTGCTCTGCATCATCGCAGTTCTGTGCTACTGTCGGCTGCAGGTACTCCCAGGGGCGGGGAAGGGGACAGGGTGGCCCTGCTGAGGGAGAGAGTCCCCCGAGAAGGCCAAGATGGCCAGGGCCCAGGAAGCGGGGAAGAGCCAGGTCTCAGAGAAGGTGCGAAGCAGACAGACCTGCCGGGACCCCACCTGGGGTGGGGCTCGGTGATGATGCCGCCTGACTCGCCTTGCCCAGGGTCTTCATCGAGGCTCAGAGAGGGTCAGGGACTTAGCCAATGCACACGGCTGCCCAGTGGGAGAGCAGGGCTTAGCCCTCAGACCTTGTCCACCTGCATTCTAGGGAAACCTGAGGCCCCCACATCTTCCAGCGGGGGACATTTGTAGAGGACAAGGTGGCACAACCCAGTGCCATGAACTAGACGTGGGCCAGATGGTTTGAACCCCAGCTCTGCCGCTTTCAGGCTGCCTAATCCCCCCTGTGCCTCAGTTTCCCCACCTGCAAAATGGAGATGGGAATTGCACCTGCCTAGGGCTGTTACATGGAGGGAACTGAGAAGTGCTTAGAGCGCCCTACCTGGCCTGAGCAAGACCCCGCAGTGGCATTAGACAGATAAGGGTGACCGAGCGGGGCCCTGCCTGCTGTCCTGCACGCGTGTTGTGGGGGCTGGGGGCACGTGCGGCGCGGGTCAGCCAGCTCTCTGCCCGCAGTACTACTGCTGCAAGAAGGGCGAGTCCGAGGAGGACGAGGAGGAGCCGGACTTCGCGGTGCACTCGCACCTGCCGCCACTGCACTCCAACCGCAACCTCGTGCTGACCAACGGGCCGGCGCTCTACCCGGCCGCCTCCACCTCCTTCAGCCAGAGGTCCCCGCAGGCCCGTGCCCTCTGCCGTAGCTGCTCCCACTACGAGCCGCCCACCTTCTTCCTGCAGGAGCCCCCCGAGGACGAGGACGTGCTCAACGGCGGGGAGCGTGTGGCCTACAGGAGCGTCAGCCAGGAGGACGTGGCACTGTCCCCTGGGGGCCTCGGCGGCCTGCAGGCACTCAACCCTAACCGCCTCTCGGCCATGCGGGAGGCCTTCTCCCGGAGCCGCAGCATCAGCACCGATGTGTGACCGGAGCCCTGGGAGGTCCTGAAACCATGGCAGGATCCCTAGGGTGCACCTACCTGGCCTCAGGCCCAGATCGGGGCTCGGCTGAGCCCTGCTCACATCCTTGTCCTCAGGGGGGACCCAGGCTTGAGGAACCCCCAGGCTCACTGCAAGGATAAGGCTCAGTGACCAGAGCTGAGGCCATAGGGATAGGGGCAGCGGGGACCTGGAGCTGGACAGGAGGTGGCCAAGTGACACTGCAGAGCTGTGGGGCCAGAGTGTGGCTGGGTGCAGCAGCTGGCTCCTGGGCACAGAGGCCAGGCTCCATGCAGTGGTGTCCTGAAGGTCTCCGGGGAAGGTGGCCTCCATCTCAGCCCCAACAGCTTGGCCATCTGGCTGGGTGGCCATGTCCTCCTCCCTGGGCCTCAGGCTTCCTACCTGTGTAAGGAACAGGTGGCCTCAGCGATGCTGGGGCCCTGCAGAGCCCCCCCCCGGCTATTGTGGACCAAGTGTTCCACCCCTCCCTGACTTCCCTGTCCCTCCGTCTCCCCTCCCTCACACACACTCCTGACTCAAGTGCTGTGTGTCTGCCCCAGGGCTAAGATGCTGGCCGAGCCAGACTTCCTGCAGATACAGAGGTTCCCCCACAGAAAGGAGAGCTTCAGAGGCAGCAGGGGCCCAGGGACGCTAGGCACAGCTGGGAGACGGAAGAGGCCATGTCAACCCACCTACTTTGGGGGTGTTGGTGCTGAAAAATGCCCAGTCCTCAGCACCAAACATGGCCAACAAGCAGAAGCCCAGAGTGGCACTTGAGGCAATGGTAGGGTGGGCCAAGCTGCAGCCCACGGGTGAAAAGACCCCCTGACTCGCCAGGAGACTTGGACAGGCCCTTCCCATCCCTGGGCCTCAGGCTCCCCGTCATGCGGGATGACGGCTCAAAGAACTACTCCAGCTCTGGCTCTCAGTGGGGACTGAGGTCCCCAGGGGAGACGCAGCCACAGGCTGCCCTGCCCCACCGCCTCCTGCTTCTCAGCAGGGCCCAGCAGCAAGGCCCCCGCCCAGCCCTGCTGTGTCCTGTGGGCCCAGCCAGTCACCACTTGCTGCTCCTGCATGGAGATTCGGCTGAGCCCAGCAAGCCCAGGCTGGGGTCTCCCTGGTGATTCTGAGCCCACTCTGCTGCTCTCTCCGAGGGAAGGAAATGATGCCCAGAGGCCACCCCAGAGAAGTGCTCCAAACCCAGGGGCACAAGCCACCAGAATGCAGCTCTTCCCCACCCAGAAAGAGGCAGTGTCTTCTCTCTCGGCAGCAGGGCCCCAAGAGCCCCCTTCCTCTCTGGGGCTCTCTCTGCTCTGGGCCCAGCTGTGGAGGCCCACAGGTGGGCAGCCCCTTTCTGCCCAGGGAAGGTGGGCCAAGCCCCCCAGCTAGGGCACCTTCCTGAATGACAAGTCCTCGAGGGCCTGTGGCCGTCCCCGAGCAGGACGCTCCGTGCTCCCACTCGAAAGCGCCGATGAGTTACTGGAGATGTCGGAGTGCAGCCACTGAAGACTTGCTGTTTTTGGCATTCTCAGTTTTTTTCCTCTTTTTCTCCCTTTCTCCTCCTGCCTTGGTTGGATGCGCTGATGGAATTCACCCTCGAGGTCCCCACACAGCCCTGGCCCGCCCACACCCTGCATCCTCTGTCCAGTCCCCGCCGGTTTGTTTCCAATGCATCAGCTTGGGGGGG